TATGTTGAGAAAACCGGCAAAATGAAAATGATAATTCTTGGTGTGAAAACCTTACAGTGAAATAGAACACAATGGTGTTCTTTCCTTACTTCAAAATGCCTTAGCTATGTTGGACTTATTGATGGTACAATATAACAGGAGTGGGGCTTGTCAGGGCACTGCTGTTCCTGGGGTGTGAATGGTTCATTAGAAACTTTGCTAGGTAGCCAAGAAATATTTGATTGAAACTATTTAGTTTTGGTCTATTCTAAGCTCAAGGTTTGCTTCCATTATTACAGAATTATTTTCTCTAATAAATCAATACAGTGTATTAGCTATAAAGTTAATAATAAACTTCTATCTGTTGATTACTAAGTTTCCTCCCTCCTGCCAAATTGTCTGTCACTTCATGTGAAAAGCCTTTTTCTACCAGTTTAACCAGTCTAAGATAATCTAATTTGGAGTAAATAGAAATGATTAGAATCTCCAATTTGTATAACTAATATAATTTCTGTAATTCTGTAAGATTAAGATTGATCTTTAAATTAACCATTAACTATCAACACTGATTACTATACAGGAAGCATAATAGATAGTTACCAAATATTAGTGATTGTCAGTTGATAAAAATGCCAGTGAACTGCTTTGACATTTTACCTGTGTTGACATAATTATATAGAAAACAGTAAACAATAAAAGTTTCTAGATGATATCTGCTTTCATACACATTTTATATCATATATAATATATTTTATATTTTTCTTTTAAAATTTCTGTAAATAAATGTAAAGAAATATAAACAATGATAAAATGATACTTTTTGGTAAAAACTAAAAATAATTACTTTAAAATCCAAAATTCACCATTTTTGTTGATACACATAAGCATGATTGGCAGATTTCGATTAAAAGAACTATAATAGCAGAAGTGTTGCATTTAAACCCGCGCTGACGATAGAAGGAACTGAATCACATCTACCTGTGTGACTCCGATCAGTGAGATGGAAGGCTTTTTGTCTGAGGACTAAATGCCATAATGCAGCACAATTAAGGCACAGAGCCAGAATCTGATTAAAAACGGAGAAGACTTTTAACAAGACGTTTCCCCTAAAGCAGACTGGCATTCACACAACAGAAGAAAATATAAAAAAAGTTTGTCTCTTTACATTTAGGAAACGTACATTACAAAGTAGCAATTTTACTGCATGTCTGCATTACAATAGCTGTGAATGTAGAGTGCATGTTTAGCCTGAAGAATTTTTTGTAGTGAGTCCTTTTTTTTTACATATGAAAACTGAAATAAATTATTCAAAATTCAGACCTGTAAAAGTGAAAGTGGACAAAATATTCTTAGCTGGTGGTGTAATAGTTAAAATTTTTTTTAAAGCATAGCACAAGAGATTAGGGTTATATCAAATGGCAACAACTTCCTGAATTGATTGGAACAATGAAATTTTGAAACATAACTAAAGAACAAATAATCTGATTCTCACAGCACTGGTGTATTTACAACTCAACAGGGCTTGCATTGATCAAAGATGACCTGCAACATTAGCTATCAGGAATATTTCTTTATAACTATCTCAGGCAATTATTTTGAAGCTAAAAAAAATGAAGCAAGGCTTGTAGCTTGTTTTTCATAAGACAAGTAGAATAGTCAAGATCATTTTATATAAACTAAATGATACAGAAATCTGACATATAAATCTTACATAAAATGCCTACATTAATAACAACAAAAAATAAGAAGTCAAAAAAAAACCCTAACCACATAAACTTGAGAAAACAAAACAAACATGCAAAAAAACAAACAAACAAAAAAATGTTAAGTCATTTAAAAGAGCATTTCCTCCTAGGATATTTGAAAAGAATTATTTCTTACAATCTTCATGGAAATGAAAAATTTAGGTGGTATTACTGTAAGCCTAATGAGTTAAGGTTTAAACTGTGAACAATCCCAAATAGTTTAAAGATAGGCAAGGCATTTATAGAAATTGGGATTGTTGCATTATATTAAGAGGATATTTTGCAATAATTCAGAATTTACATTCTTTCTAAGGTGTAAAGACTGAACATTTAAGGTAAATTTTTTTTGTGTATGAATATCTATGGACATTTTATTAGAGAGAAGGGTCCCCATGTTTCATAGAAATGTCATCAAAATTTTTGAAAAAGAAGAATTAGAATAATTCATGTTCAATAAATGATTAGAATGATTGTAGACTTTATGTCAAAAATTCTCCATGTAAGTTTAACACACTTTTACATTTTGATTGCACTACTTTTAGTTTTAGTTAGAGTGTTATCTTAAACAAATAGTGACTGAGAAATTTAGATAAACAATGACAAATCATACTGGAATGGATATAAATGCAATCTAACCAAGATCCCTAATTTTGTATCCAAGGAAACTGAGGTCAAGACATGTTGAAGATCAAGTGTAAGTTATTTACTGGCAAAGCTGGGTGAAATTTTGATTCTTTCACTTTTCAAGCCATTACCCTTGACCACACTGCCCAGATCATGTTGTTCTTGTGAGAGTAGAAAGTGTATATATCAAATTAAGTTTTAAACATAATAATTTGCTGCTTAAAGGGACCCCGCAAGGGACACTTCTAAAACAAAGAATATGTATGTAATTTGCAACTGTTTTTCTAAAATGGTAGAAAATACTCAGAAGCAGCCTCCAGAAGACATGGTTTCTAGCAATAACCAGGAGCAGACTTAGGACATTTCCTGTTAATTACTCTCTCTCTCTCAGTATTTTCTTTTGTACAAATGTTACCCAAAAGGGAAACAAACAAACAACCCTAATTCTTGTCTTACCCAAAAGATGAGATTTACAGATGGAGACAGAAGGCACTGTGTAGCAAAAAGATTTTACAATATTTATTTAGGAAAAAAAGAGTATGCCTCCAAGAGCGGGAGGCGGGCTGACTCAGGGGCAGTCAGGGTTTCTTTGTCTCCCCTTTCTCCTATACCCTTGCTTAGAGGTGGTCTTTTGATTGATTGATGACTTTTGTCCCTGAAATGTTTAGTCATGTTTAATTCGCATGTCCTTACCCATGGTATACACAGAAAAACCAAAAGGGGGAGCCTAAATCGCAATGTTAATTATAACACAATGAACACTGGGTTGTGTCCGGTTAAGTTCTTTCTGCTATTATGCAGTTGTGGCTGTTGGGTCTTAACCAGTTTTTTTCTTTTTTCTTTTTGGCTGACACTCATTTAGAAGAAGTAAAATCCCTTATGCTGGAGACGGGTATAACACCATCTTCTGGACCATCCTCCCTCTCCTCCACCTGTCTGCCCAGTCTCCTCACTTATCTAATGGCCTCACACTAATAAAGAAGTTGAATTACATGATTTTTTTTCAGATACTTTGTCCTTCTAACAGTTCAGCTAAAGTGATACTAGGAATTACACCAAACTCTAACAATAGTTTGGGTCATAGACTGGTGGGATTAATTTGATCTACAAGTACTTCTGCTATTCTACCTGAAGAAAAGGAAAGGATGTTTATAAAACTGGAACCCTTAATGGGACCATTAAAATGGCTCTATCCATTATTTTTTGCAAGGCCCACATTTCAAAGGGTTTCTGAGATGGACTTCTCAAACTCCTGATATAGAATCACACTTTAGCCCTACAGTAGAATATAGCTCTATTTTTGCAGTAGTTAAATGTGATAAATATTTACAGATAGAAAAGCAAGTATAACACACACATACAACATACATGCCTATACACATACATATGTGTTTTTAGTTTCAGTAATAGGTGAAATGATTAATCCTTTTAGTGTACACACAAATCTTTTAGCATACTTTATAATTAATCTGAATAATTCATGCTGAGTTTTTAATGCGTTAGAGAAGGAGTAAGCTGAGTTCACACCTTCCTTTCTTATCAGGTTTAATAAAGACTAAAAGAGGGCCCTTTGTGGGAAGGAAATGAGCTGTCTTGGATTTACCTCATGCAATGAAGTACAATGATTTATTTATTTTCTCTCAGTATGTATAGTGTTTTTTGGGATGCTTAAAATTTGGCGAATGTTGTACTGTCACTTTCTCTTTCACACATGTCTACCACTTTTCTTCCATTTTTATAGTTAGGAATGCACTTTGAAGAGAATGCTGTAAAAGTTGTTCCTCTTGTGTTCACTTGACAAGCCTCAACCCTGGGAGGCCAGAACAGTTATTTAAAACTAGCAGAAAATAATGGAAGGATAATAAGTTAACTAGCTAAAAGTAAGGTTGCTGTGTGAGATATAATAATCACCACTGACTGGAAACCTCAAACACAGAGAAAACCCTAGCTATATGGATCTTCCACTGAGTACTCTGAGGATATTCTACTGTTGGAATAAGTAAAGACTTAATGATGTCTACAGATAAGGCAGGATTTCTGACGACCTTCACATAGAACCTGATTCTTTTGAATGAAGCAGTTATTATAACTTTTAGTAGAAATAAAAAACACTTCAATTAAAAGTTTATTAAAATTATTTTAAAAAGGTATAAAGGTGGTAAGTGCACAGTTGGAAAGTGGTGATACTATTTCAGTTGTTTAAGATTTGATAATAAAGAATGTATAGTTTACAGAGCCTTTTGATGGCTGAAAGGGCAGATATAAAACTATAATAGCTCTTCTTGTTTTCAAAGTATATCCTCCTAAGTGCATCACTTATGTGTGATTATGGAGTATATGAAACGAATGTGCCTTAAATGTAAGGGAGGTTTTTATCCAAGAATAACTTTCAGAGTCAAACTAACTCAATACATAAGGCGGAAAACATCCTGTTTTGAAACATGACAGAAAAATAACTACATTGTGATAGTGGTAATTTAGCTAATATTTTTGTATTTAAAAGGCTTTTCATCTATTTTTTATCCACTAAGAAAATGGTACTCATTTGGACTGGCTGGAGAGAGACAGTTATTGGTGAATGCATCTGAAATTATTGATTATGCTTAGGCACAGTGAAAATTGTTAAAAGAAGTATGAATCAAGGAAACTGACCTGAACTCTCTCCGCGGGTGGTTTTGAACTTTTCTTCCTTAGCCAATCCCTCCCATTGCAGAACCTTGACAATCACAGGTATGCACCAAACTCAAGAATGTTGCTGAAAAGACATTTATAATAATGTGTGATAATGAGGC